CTGATGGCGCATCGCCTGCTGCTGCCGTTACATCATTCCTGACAGTGCTCCACGCTGGCACAGGGTCCGAGCGGCTCCAGACGTGCCCCCGGCACCTCCTGCACATGGGGAGCGAGCCTGAGAGGCAGAAGTTTGGCAGTGAATTCAAGCGAGAGGCATCGTTTCACAGGAGCTTCAGCCTGGATTGAAACAGCTCTGATGGCTCTGTCAAATATCTCCTTGTGGATTCGGGATGCCTGGGCTGTGGGTGAGTAGGGATGCTGGCATGGAGCAGGGGTGACTCAGGAGATACTGAGGGGCTGGGGATCCTGCAGGGATACCGTTCCTGCGGGAGAGTAAAGCTCAGCTGCCCTTCAAGCGAACTGCCCTGGAATTCAGCTTCAGTCCTTGTGTACCTGCCATGGCCACAACACCCTGAGCCTGGACACTGGCTCACGCTCAGCACGACTCCGAGGCTGCAGCATCTGCTGCAGCTGATGGTGCTGACTGGGAACATTCCAGGCAGATGTCCATTGGCAGGCAGGGTAGGGGTTGCTGCCTGCTCCTCTCTGAGTGCCCTGGGGCCAGGAGGGCACCTGGTGCCAGCAGGGAGTCTGGTGAACCCCCAACCAGATATGCCTCAGTTTCCCTCAGCAGCAAGGCTGGCCAGGCTCAGGTCTAGACTGCTGGGGTTGGTGGGATGGAGCTGTCCCTCTGGCTCTGCTGTGCCAGGATGCCTTCATCTCCTGCAGGCATTTGCCACAGGGTGGGAGCCCCTCAGAGGTATTTTGTGCTCTGAGCCTGTTGCTGATAAGTGTGGTAGCAGGGTCACTGCCAAGGGCATTGGCTCAGCTCAGCTCCACTATCCCAGCCGGCCGCTGTCTCCTCTTGCCGGACACTCCCGCTTGGCTGGGGCATCGCGTGCCCACAGATGGCTGTGGCACCTGGGCTTCCTTGGACACTTACAACCTGCCCTTGTACTGAGCCTGCATCAGGCTGCTCCCAAACACTGCCTGTCCCTCGGGAGCACCGTGGCAGTGAATCAGGACTGCTGGCTCCCTACATCCCATCACCGAGCTGCCGTGCAGTGCTGGGCTTGGCATGCTACTCCCAAAACAGCCTCAGAGCCACTGCTCACGAAGCATCCTCGGAGTGGCTGCTCCCAGGGAGCCAAAGCCTCAGGGTGCTGCTCACTCTGGCACAGTGCTGTCCTTGCAGTGCACGTTTGGGCCATCTGAGCGCCAGGAGAGTGCTCAGCTCATGGGTTCTTGCCCCCACCCCTTCTCCCCTGCTGGGGAGATGGAGCCCACGATGCCTATGCCTTGGTGATGCCAGCACCTTGGCAATGCCAGCAGCCCAGCAGTGCCTGCACCACAGCCCACACCGGCTCAGGACCGCGCTGTGCCACTCACAGTCCCAAATAAGCGTGTGTCAGCAAACAGGGGAAGGCTCCACAGGGGAGGACCCCGGCACTGCGTGTTCCCCTTCTGGCCGAAGCTGCCCCTAGGCAGGGCAGGGTGCTGGGCGTGGGCGCTGCCCCGTTTCCGCCGCGCCCAGGGCGGCCCCGGGTTTGGTGCTGTGGTTTCCCCACGTGGTCGGCGCCCGAGGTGGTGGCAGGGGTGACTCGGCAGCAGGGGCGAGGAGCAGAGGTGAGCTCTCGTATTCCGGGCACGGCATCAGGGGCTTGGAGAGCTGCAGGGGCTGCTCAGGCTGTCCCTGAGCCCTCGGTGGGGGGTGGCTGCAGGGGGATATGTGGGCAGAAGGTGAGGAGCATCACCTGTGCTGAGGCCAAAGGCTGGGGCTGCGTGAGCCAGGCAGAGGGTGCAGCAAGCCAGGATTTGGGGTGCACCATTGGGCTGTTCTTAGAAATGACAGGGCAGCACTGGATCCCCCACCTCGCCAAAACCAGCAGGGTCTGGAGTCTGCTGAGGGGGAAGTGTGGTCTCTGCCCCTGGCACTGGGCATCAGGTTTTTGGGGAGATGTCCAGCCTTACCCTGAGCATGGCACACACATGCACACATGCACCCCAACACCTCTTGGTTGGTATGGAAACAAGTCAAATTATTTAGAGGAGGAGGAATGGAAAAAAAAAAAAAAAAAGGAAAAAAACCCAGTGTTCCCAGTGTTAAGGCCCGTCGTTATGGAAACAAATCATAAAAGTAACTAGGGTGGGGACATGGCACCTTGCTTTGGGTGCTGGGCGTTGTGCAGGCTCCATCAGCTGGGGGAAGGGTGTGCATGAGGGCACCCAGGGGCACAGGTGTTGTAAGCAGGAGGGCATCTGGGGGCAAGAAGGCACATGGGGGCAGGAAGGCACCACAAGCAGCAGGGGGATGCTTATGATGAAGTGCAGATGAGCTGGACCACAGCTGCCTGACCAATGGGGGCCGAGGGAAATGTGGCTTGTGCTGGGGGTCCCACACATGTTTTGGGGCCATTCCCCTTCCCAGGTATGTGGGATTGCTTCCGCTGCCTCAGCTGGGGCCTGGCAGGGAGCAGGCTTTGGCAGCAGGGCATGGTGTGTTCCTGGGGCCAGGCACTGTGCTGCAAGTGCTAGAGGGGAGGTGTTTGTCACACACTGGCAGTCAGAGCGTCTCAGCTGATGGGGATGGGGACAAGACAATGCAGCGGAGGATGAGCCCTAAATCTCCAGGGATGAGACCCTGGTCATCCGTATCCCTGTGTAAAGCTCACAGAGACCCACTCTGTGCCTGACAGAATGTGGGTCCCCTTGGAGGCAGTGTGCCAGTGGTGGCACTCCTTTGAATCCACGCTTGGTACAAACCCACATCCACTCAGTGCAGCGCAGCCAGGGCTGCAGTGTTCCCATGGCAAAGCATGTTTGTGGGAGCAGCGCTCAGCTCCCCACAGAGCCAGTTCACTGCTGAGCCCAGATCCTGCTCCCAGGGACTTTTCCACCCATCAGGGTGTTTCAGAGGGTCTGAGCAATCCTCACAGAGGTTTCCTTCCCTGGAAAGCTTTGGGGGTGTCCATGCCAGGGAAGGGCATGTGGGCCCCAAGCTGCAGTGCAATGGAAGTGGAGGGTCCCTGGCTCCTGCCTTTCAGTTGCAATTTCTGCTCCTGCACAGCCAGGATGTTGCTCCACCAGAGCATGCAGCGTTTCCTGTGCCCGGGCGCGGTTAGGCAGGGGTGGCAGGGCTGGCTTCCTTCCCCAATTTCAGCCAGCTCCCTTCTTGGCAGCCCTCAGGGACTGTCCAGTCCCCAAAGTGGTGGCAGCATTGAGGGCTGGTCCCAGCAGGCAGCAGCCTGCCAGGGTGGGATGCAGCCACATGCCGGCATTCCTGGAGAGCTGGGGTCGGATGAGCATTGTGCTGGCCCCGTACTATCCCACGGCAGCACCTGCAGGAAAGCCGTCCCCCACCTGCCTCTGATCCCACTCTCCTCTGCCTGCAGCCACCTCTAACCTGGACCTTGAGAACAAGAAAGCCGCCCCCGCCAAGCTGCCATGGCAGCAGCCTGTGAACGTCTTCCTGGCCTCTGGGCGCCCACCGGGCATGGAGCAGCTGCACCAGGAGGCCCAGCTCAACCTCCAGAGCTTGCTGCAAGGTAGCAAGGAGAGGGGCTGGAGTAGTGGACTGGGTGAGGGTGGTGGGTGGGTGCTCCCCGGGCTAGGTGACCACCATGAGACTGAGCTCATCTCCCACACGCATGTCCGAGCCATTCCTTGGACCTCACCAAGCTGCAGGAGTTGGGTCCTGGGGGTCCCAGCCTCCAGTAGTCCCTCACCGATCTCTGCTCCCAAGTCACGGCTGCAGGTGCCAAAGCAACTGGGACCACGTTTGCCTGCTGGGGCCACTGATGCCAGTGGGGCCACCAGGTCACCTACGAGCCCCTGCACAGCACAGTTCTCACGAGAGCTAAGGGACCTGCCACTGATCTGCCTAATTTGATCAACGTGGCCAGTGGTTTTGTTTCCTTCCAGTCTCTGGCCCAGGCTGTCACGCGGCCCTGGCTCAGATGCTCCTCAGGCATCAGATGAGATCAGCAGCCCAGCCATCCCCCAGCTTGTAATCTCATTAAGTCAGCCTGAGCAGCCCTGCTTTCTGCCAGTCCATAGCCACCAGCATTAATTAGCTCAACAATTACAGGATGGGGATGCACTGAGTTCTGGCTGTCCCCAGTGGGGCAGTGTCTCAGTGGGACTCACCACATCACTTGACTGCACCCCGGGAGGAGTGGGGCAAGCTGCTGGCATCTTTGCACTTCTTCAGTTCCCCTCCTTGGGGTCTCCCTTCCTCACCTTCTCAGCTGCCTGTCCTGAGCAGGGACGGCCAGCTGGGCTGGGGACAGCCAGAGGGGACAGTCACCATCCCTTCACATGCCCCCTGCTCCAGGACCTGGCAGCAGGAGCAGGGTCCCAGGTGCTGTTTTTCTTGCAGAGGAGTATGAGGAGCAGTACACCGAGAGCAGGGTCACTGGGCAGACCTTCCGTGCTGCTGGTCACCCGCCCTCCGACACCTCCCCTGAACCATCACCTCGACCCCCACCTGCCAAGCGCCTTGAGTTCGTGCTTATGGTGAGTTCTGAGGTTGCAGGGCGGGCAGCAAGTCCCTGTTTGTGTTCCACCCTTGTGCCTTTAGTGGCTGACGTGCCTTTCTCCCTGTAGCCCCCGAGCCAGCGAGCGGCCGAAGAGGAGACCACCAGCAGCACTGTGCTCAGTGCTCGGCCTCCTGACACCTCCCTGAGCCTCCCCACCAGTCCAGACAAGCAGCAACCCTGGCCCAGTGCTTTCCCCTTGCCCCCTGAGGAGGAGAAGCAGTGGCACCAGCCCAGCTCCATCCAGACCAACATTGTCCCCATCAATGTCTCTGGTAGGGCAGCACCCCATGGCAAGATGGTGGGACACGGGGTGCAGGCAGAGATGTGCCCCAGCAGCCATCTGGGGCAGGGGATGGGTGGTGGGAGGGGGCTGTGGCTGCAAGCTGTGTTCCTGTGGGTTAGGTGGGCACCAGGGCAGAGAGGGGACAGCAGGGCCATGCTGGCATCCATCACTCCCAGCCATCTCTCATGCCATCTGCAACTTTGTGCGTCCAGTCCGCTGGTCATGCTGCTGGCAGGTCTCACATCCCTTATGTAATGTCCAGCCAGTCAGGTCTGTTGTCACCTGGGCTCTCACCACATACTGTGCACCCTGCCTGACTCACCTGTCTCCCCTGTCTGTCCATCTGCTCATCCTCTCAGGGCCACAGCTCCCAGCAGCGCAGTCCTGCCCAGTCCTTGCAGACACAGGTGCCATGCTCTGGCCCAGGTCAGAGTCAGGGGCTAGTGACTGGGTGAGGTGCCCCTTCTGAAAGGCAAAGGTGTCTCTCTGCACTTTCCCTCCACCCTGGAGAGCTGTGCCGGGGCCACATTGGTCCCTTTCCCTCTCCATGCCTCATGTACCCATCCCCGGTCTGGCTCAGCTCAGTGGTGTAGGGCCCAGCCTCACCAGCACAGACTAGTGCCTGTCACGCAGTGCAGGGCTGGTCTCTGTGGCTTTCCATCCATCCCACTTCCATCTGCAGCATTCCCACCGTGCCTCCATTTCCCCCGTGCTCATCTCACATGGCTCACACCATCGTCCTGCATCCCACACTCCCACCTGTGTCACCATGCCGGGCTGGGGACAGCAGAGAACACAGGTGATGGAGGGGCCGAGCTCCCGGCCCAGCAGCGGCTCCGGCACCGCCCGTACACTGTTTGTTTTGGCTACAGGGCAGCACTTTGCTAGGCTTGCGAGTGCTCGTCACTCCCTGTTTAACACAGAGACTGCGATGAACCCAAAGTCCACCCTGCGGCGTAGACGGACCATTATTGGATTCCCTAACCTGTCCCTGCGAGACCAAGGTGACGGCAAGAAGCGCGCAGGCTGCTCCCGGGCAGGGCTGGCAGCCCCCAGAGCTGCCCTGATGGTGGCACAGCCATCCCGAGGCTGGCAGCCAGCCCAGGCACAGACCCCTGGGCTCTGGGGACACCCAGACCACGGGGAGGTGCAGGCATCACACTGGCTCTGCACCCTCCCAAGGCACTGAGGTGCTGGGCTCACTGGTGACACTGGGCTGGCCTGGGGCTGGTCTGGCATGAGGGACAGCCCCTTCATCCTGAGTCAGGATTCTGAGGCAGGAGTCACCCAGCCTCGGCTCCAAGAAGGAGGCCTCCCTGTGCCCATTTCCCCATGGGCAGACCCTGTCTCAGGCTGCCATGGCTGTGGGGCACACACCTGGCCAGGTCTTTGGTGGGGCTGGCGAGCTGGCCATGCCATGTGAGAGCGGCTGGAGTGCATGTGAGAGTGGCTGGAGTGCTTCCAGGCTGGCATTGGACCCTTGGGAACAGCAGCCACTGTGGTTCAGAGGTGCTGTCCTGCTGTCTCCTATGGAAGGTGCAGAGAAATCAGAGCCAGCCTCTCTCTGAAGGGAGGTAGAGACAGGAAGAGAAGCCATGACACCAGCTGCTCCAAGGCAGTTTTCACGGGGTAGGAGGAAGGTTTCTTCCCATGACAGTGGTCAGACCATCAATAGGATGGTCACGGCTCCTCCTTGGAGTCAGTCAGACCTCAGCCCACCACAGCCTTGAGCGTTGCTGTCTGCTGGGGGTGTTCAGAGTGGGGTTGCTGGCTCCTGTGATGGGGTGGCTCTGTGAGCCACCATGTCCCTCTCTGTCCCAGCTGGCAATGCCTGACCTGGCTCCTCCTGAACCCCATCTGACTCCCCACCATGGAGCAGCACCAGGGCAACACTTTGGTTGCCGTGGGACTGATGTCCCCATGTGTAGAGCCTCCTGCTGTGGCTGCTTATTTGCCCCTGGCACATTCCAGCGTGCCGTCAGACCCACATTTTATGCCTGGGCAGAGGTGCAGCCTCCAGACTGGCCACAGGCTGGGACAGCATGCAGAGGAGGGCCATGTCCCTGTGAGGGAGGCGGGATGGTGCTCACCAGGCTGTGTCTCTCCCTGCAGGCAGTGCCAACGGCCCCACCTCCAGCACACACGCGCCCATCGATGAGTCCCTGTCCTGCAGCTTTGTGCCTGAGACCACGAGCAGGGGCACTGTGCCCCAGGAGATCAGCGCTCGTCCGCCCCTTTCAGCCCCACTGAGGAAGACCTTCAGTGACCTCGGGGCCCTTCGCTGCCAGCCACCTGCTGCCATGGATGGGGCAGCCAACCCCTGTGCCAGTGCCTGCAATGGGACACAGGGCATCCCTTTTTCTCCGCCCTGGACCCCCGTGGGTTATGGGAGCCCCCCCAGCCTTACCTCTGGCCCAGGCAAGGGGCCCACCTGCACCTCACCGGGCGGCTTCATCCCATCACCCAGCCCAGGTTCACCCGCCGCCTCCACCTCCTTCTTCATCGCCACAGAAGAGCGCATGGGCAGCAATGGGCCCAGCTTTTTCTCTGGCCCAGTGCCTGCTTCCCCCCCCAGCTCCAGGTGCATCCAGGGAGCCAAGGGGAATTTCTTGCCAGGAAGCCAAGAGGAGCTGGAGCCAGCGGCAGGGCCAGCACAGCTGGAGGTGGAGCGGGCAGGGTGCCGGTTCCGTGAGCGGTCACTGTCGGTGCCCACTGACTCGGGGTCCCTCTGCTCTGTAGACATCACATATGCTGAGACCCGGCGGGGCAGCGCCAACTACGCTCTGGGCTACCCCAGCGCCAGCTCCGAGGGCAGCACCAGCACCGACAACGTCTCCCTGGGGCTGGAGCCTGAGGGGCAGCGGCGGCGGCGCTCCAAGAGCATCTCCCTGAAGAAGGCCAAGAAGAAGCCCTCGCCACCCACACGCAGCGTCTCACTGATCAAAGAGGGGCCGGATGGTGATGAGGGGCTCAGTGCGGCACTGCCCAAGGACCAGCGGCCCAAGAGCCTGTGCATCCCACCAGAGCTCCAGGGTCACCGGCTGGTGCACGCCGACCCTCAGGGGAGTGCAGGCAGGGAGCCCAACAGCACAACTGCCCCCCACCAGTGGCATCTCACAGACTGGAGGGCTGGCAGTGATCACTACCAGTCCCTCTCTGGCTCAAGCACAACCACAGGGACCACGGCTGTTGAGTGTGCCAAGACACGGGGCAGCTCTGAGTCCCTCGTGTCTCCTTCAGTCTCCAGGGCCACGACGCCCTCCCAGCTCTCTGCCGAGGCAGACCTCAAGACCTCCTCGCCAGGCAGGCCCACAGGGCTGATGTCCCCATCCAGTGGGTACTCCAGCCAGTCAGAGACCCCAACCCCCACCGTACCCACCTCCACCATCCTCGGGCACTCCCCGCACCAGGTGCGTGTGAGGCCACTGGTCCCCGAGAGGAAATCCTCTCTGCCCCCCACATCCCCCATGGAGAGGAGCCCCAAGGGCAGGCTGTCCTTCGACCTCCCACTGACTCCACCCGCCCACCTCGACCTCTCAGGGCTGAAGATCTCCCTGAAGGGGAAGACTAAGGTCAGCCGGCACCACTCTGACTCCACCTTTGGCACCAAGCTGGCCCAGAAGACCAGTCCCATCACACCCATCATGCCCGTGGTGACACAGTCCGACCTGCGCTCTGTCCGCCTCCGCTCCATCAGCCGCTCAGAGCCAGAGGACAGCGCTGATGGCCCAGAGCACACAGAGGAGCCAGCACACATCCCCTGCCCAGGGCCGGAAAGAAAAGTGAAGCCACCTGTGGCAGAGAAGCCACCCCTGGCCAGGCGCCCCCCGTGCATCCTGCCCAAGCCCCCAGTTCTGCGGGAGGAGGGTCCCCTCTCCCCCAAATCCCCACCAGGCACTACCGCCAAGGAGAAGGGGCTGGCACAGGATGCTTTTGTGGTGCGGCGGAGAGGGGAGCTGAGGAGGAGCTCAGCTCTGGGGGAGTCCCACTTGTCCCTGACCCCAGCGGGGCCCCGGCGGCTCTCCCAGGGCAGCCTGGACGAGCGGAGCAGTGCCGAGGGCGAGCGCAGGAAGGCCAAGGTACCCCCGCCAGTGCCCAAAAAGCCCAGCGTGCTGTACCTGCCACTCATCCCAGCCCCAGCACAGCTGGGAGCTGGTGTGGGGGACCTGCCACCCACCCCCAGCCCCATCATCACCCTGGACACTGACCCCACCTGCTGCGACCCTGACGCTGAGGAGCCGCCATCCCCCAAGGCCGTGGGCACCACACCTGCCAGCGAGCCTGCCCCAGAGCAAGGTGAGGGTCTCTCCACCACTGTGGTGGGATCACCCCAGGGATAATGGTGCTCCATGCTGCACAGGGGATTCACTGCTGGCTTCTCCCTGACCACAGGCAGCTCAGCAGAAGCCGGCATGGAAGAGAAGAGCTTTGCCAGTGACAAGACAGCCGAGTCCATCGTGGAGGAGGACGATGAGGTGTTCACAACGTCCCGCACTACGGAGGATCTCTTCACAGTGATCCACAGGTAAGGCTGGTGCATGCACCTGAGGGGACAGCCCCTGCACCCACTGTCACAGCTCTGTGTGTAGTGTCTCTCCACCATGACAGCTCCATTTTCCATACTGGGGCCAATGTTCATCCTTGGGGACAGCCCCGTTGCTGCTACCTTGAGCAGAGTGCAACCAGCAGGGAGAGTCCAGATTAGTCCTACCTGCCAGGAGCACCACCTGCCATGCCCATGTTACCACCTTGCCCCAGCGGAGCAGGCTGGGCACTACCATGCCCCTCGCTCTGGGACCTCACCCCAGTCCCAGACTGCTCCTACCTGTGTCCCTTTGGTGCCTAGGTCAAAGAGGAAGGTCTTGGGGAGGAAAGAGCCTGGTGACACCTTCAGCAGCCGACCCACCTCCCACTCACCTGTAAAGACTTCAAGCTCCCCAGCTGGTGAGTCTCTGGCAGCAGCAGGCAGCAGTGGGAAGTCTTCCAGCAGGAATGAGGATTTTAAAGCCCTGCTCCAGAAGAAGAGCAGCAAAACAAGCCCTGGTACTCGGCCATCTGCCGCAGAACTGCTCAAGACCACAAACCCGCTGGCCCGGAGGGTCATCACAGAGTTTGCCCCTGAGCTGGACGGTGCAAACAGCCCCAAAAGCCAGCCCTGACCACACAGGGGCTCCTCCAGCCGAGAGGAGAGAGCGCTGCAGAGAGAGCGCTGCTGCAAAGGGCTGTCCTGGCTGCTGGGGAGCCCCTGTATCCTGCTGGGGGGTTCTTCTGCTTTTGTTCCTTACCTGGAGAGCTGCTGGCAGAGAGGCAGTAGCTGGAGCCCAAGCTCTCATGACTCTGGGCCCTTCCCATGGGAGAAGTTGCTGGAACTGGCCCTGGCTGAGCCAGCTCCTGGGACTGAAGGCACCTGCCCAGGAAGCAGAACAGGATCACAGCCCCTGGTGTTGCCTGATGCCTGGTGCAAAGCAGCTTGAGACTCTCTGGTCCCTTCGGCATGTGGTACTTTAAACAGATTTTCTAATGCACAGTGGTGGTGATGTTTGATTCTCTTCCCTTTGACATTGTACCTTGAGTTTCCCGTGCAGAGATCCCCTGGTTGAATTCAGCTGGACACACAGATGCACTTTGGGAAGATGCCAGGGGTTCAGCTGGATCTGCGGTTGCTTTTGAAGAGTCACAGGAGGTTCCCTGTCATTGCCCTGAACATCCTCCCTGTCACACAGGGAACTGGCAGCCAGCGTCCACAGCCAGCGCCACCACCTCAAGCCAAACCCCCACCCCTTGAAAGCCCCCAAAATGCTGCATTTTGGAGCTCCTCAGCTCAGTCCAAAAACAAACCTTGGGGTCTTCTCCACTACCAGTCCCCCCTGGCCTCACTGCACAGGGGGTCTGGCAGCCGCCCCACTCCCACGCCAGGGGTCCTGCACCCAGCTGCCAGCTGGGGCAATGAGGGTGCTGTGCCACGGGAAGGAAGCTCGTCCCCAGCTCTGCCTCCTGCATCTCCACAACAGACCCTGCGACAACTTCTCCTGCAGCCCTGGCCACCAGAGGTCCTGAGATGCTACCAAGATGGTGGCTGGAATCCAGATGGACTTCACCTGAGCCACCTCCCTGGTGGCTCCGGGGTCCCCCCAGGATTGTCCACCACTCACCTGTGCCCACTGGCCACCAAGGAGATGAGCAAGGCCAAGTGGGACACGTGCCATCAGGGCATGTGCACAGGGCCATGGAAGAGAGTTTGCACGTCCCCAGGTGGGATTTGTCGTCCTCACCCCCAGCTGCCTCTTCCTGGCCGGGCTCCAGCATGGGGGCCCAGCAGCCAGTAGCAGAGGCTGTGGTGTGGGCTCAGGGCAGGGCAGGGAGGAAACACGAGCTCTGAGCAGGAGCATGGCCACACGCCCAGAAAAACAGGAAGGGCCAGCCATGGCTGACAAGGAAACAGTGTTTAGGGAAATTTCTGCTTGATTCCTTGATGTATTTCCACACACTCCAGCCTTCCTGTGCTGCAGGGGGAGCCGTGCAGTGGGTCCAGGCAGCAGCAGGGCACCACAGCACTGCTTCAGCTGCCCCTCTGAGGGGCCTGGGCTGCTCTGGGGGGCCTCTGCCCCACCAGGAGCTCTGGGGAGCACAACCCAGGCAAACACTTCCCCATCCTTTGCCACCACCTTGGATCTGATCCCACTGAGGCTCCGGTGGGTTCCCCTCCCCTCCCTCCTGGTACTTGCCCATCTCTCTCTTTCCTCTCCCAGGGCTGCAGATTTAAGCCTGTAATTAAGAGCCAGGCTGAGAAACTCAGGAAAAAAAATCACAAAAAAAGCTCCAATGAATGTCCACATTTCACCCTTATCCCATGGCCTCAGCTAGTGGCAGGGTGCTGGCGTGGGATGGGGCCAGGGCACAGCTTGGGAAGCTCTGGGAACAGGTACATTTTGCACATGACTGCTCAGGAAACCAGGGACAGAGTCGATAAAGGGGGCTGGGGACAAGCACAGGGCAGGGACCCCCCTGCAACAGCCCCAGCACCACTGGCAGCTGGAGTGGCCGATGCTGCTGGGCTGAAATATCCAAGTGGACCAGAGGTCAGCTGTGGGACAGAGGTTGGCCATGAGATGGAGATCCTAATTTCCCCGGCCGGAGGAACGTGCTCTTGCTGGGGCTCTTCCTGGCTGAGCGCTCGTCTCTGGCCGCTCTCTCCCTGCTCCCCCTGGCTGCAGCTACTCCACTGGGAAGGCAGTGGGTTCCCGGGACGAGTCCGGCCGGCAGGACAGCCCTGCCCCGGCGTGCGGGCCGCCAAGGTGCCAACTATGGAATGCTGTACTTTTTATCTCGCCAGCTTGGTAAAGTGCTCCCTGCTGCCTGCCTGTGCCTGTTCTTCTTTGGGCTGCTGAGGGACTGGGGCTGGGGAGGTGGGCACCTCCTGACTGCCCTGGGAGAAGAACCGGCCCTATTTGCTGGGGCTTTTCACGGCGTTTGCCGCGCACTCCGGTGTCCCCGTGGCTCTGGAGCGGGGGGGGCGCAGGGACACCGTGAGGGGTCAGGGGCGGCCCAGGCTGGGCGCTGGGGAGAGGCCGGAGCGGGGCCCGGGGATGGTGTGAGGGGCTGCGGACGGACTTGGCGTCCGGGGAGAAGGTGGGATGGATGAGAGGGACAGAACAGTCCGGGGGGACTGCTGGGGTAACTCCTCGTGCTGGGAGGGATCTGGGGACAGCCCTGGACCCTGGGCACAGGCCGAGGGGAGGACTGGAGTTGGGGAGGGGTGGATCGGGAATTGGAATCCTGGGGCCGGTGGGATGGATGAGGGGACAGCCCTCAGTGTTGGGGCCAGCCCTGGGCGGGCGCTGGGTACGATCGTGGATGCCGAACGCAGCCCTGCGTGCCGGGTGCCCACAGGCCCGTCCGGGCAGGCACACCCCCGTGTCCCGCAGCCCCGCGGGGCAGCTCCATGCCGGCACCGCGCGGGCAGCCGGGGGCCTCGGGGCGGGGCGGTGCAAGGGCGGCCCCGCCCTGCGGGGAGTGCGGCGTGGGGGCCTTACGGCAGCAAGATGGCGCCCAAAGGGAAAGGCGGCGGCAAAGCCGGGAAGGGTGAGCGGGGCTGGGCGGCACCGGCACCGGCCGGGCGGGGGTGCTGGGCCGGCCCCGGCCGGGCGGGGGTGCTGGGCCGGCCCCAGCCGGGCTGGGGTTGTGGGCCGGTACCGGCCGGGCTGGGGTGCTGGGCCGGGACCGGGACCGGCCGGGCTGGGGCCCGGAGGCGGTGGGGGCCGAGCCAGTCTCAGAGCCCGGCAGGGCCGGCGGGGACCGGGCCGGTGTCAGGATGATCGGTTCACAGGCGGCGACAGCGGCAGCGGCAGCGAGAGCAAAGCACAGGGCCCGAAGGGAGGCGGCAGCGCTGTCAAGGTGAGCGCGGGGGGCGTGGGGGACCAGGCGGGCTAAGGGTTCTCTGCCCCAGCACCTGCAGGCTCGTCCCGCCCGCCGGCCCCGCTCGCCACAGCCCCGCTGCCCGCCCCTCCAGGTTCGGCACATCCTGTGCGAAAAGCACGGCCGGGCCATGGAGGCCATGGAGAAGCTGAAGTCCGGACAGCGCTTTAGCGAGGTGGCGGCACAGTACAGCGAGGACAAGGCCAGGCAAGGGGTGAGTGAGTGCTGCACCAGACAGGGCGGTGGGGCCGGGCAGCAGGAGCCTGGGTCCTGCTCGTCACCAGCAGGACCTGTCCCACGGCCACATCACCCACCCTCCCTGCTCCGAGTCTCAAGGCTTAACCCCCACGGTCCCTTGCTGCAGGGAGACCTGGGCTGGATGACCAGAGGCTCCATGGTGGGACCATTCCAGGAGGCAGCATTTGCCCTGCCTGTGAGCAGCATGGACAAGCCCGTGTACACGGACCCTCCCGTCAAGACCAAGTTCGGATACCACATTATCATGGTGGAAGGCAGAAAATAAAATGTGAATGACCATGATGATCTTGTTGACTGCTTGAATCCCGAGTCCCAGACACCTTGGCCTTGGAGCAAGTTGGGCACAACCAGCAACATGCCTGGAAGCAGGCTGGCTGTCCCTGCCACTGTGCTAGCAGAGCAGGGCCCTGCCTGAAGAGGTAAAGTGTCCCTGGGAAGGGTGAAACAAGAGCCTTTTATAGATGTTGATGTCTCTGTTGCCTGGCAGGCCAGCCTCTTCCTTCTCCACATTATCTGTGGAGATAATGGCCTGTCACTGGAGTGAGGTGCCCAGGTTTTTATCTGCAAACAGAAATGATGCAGAAAAGGACAGAGGGGCCCCAGGGCTTGGTCTCCATCCTCCCCAAGAGGATGCAGTCAGCTCCAATGGTGCAGTTTATGCTCCAGAGCTTCAGGACAGTCCCTTCAGTGGAGGGTGGGTAACACTGGAGCTGGGTCAGGCCAGGCAGGGAAGGGACCTGGGGGTAGGAGGGGAGGATGAGCTCTCCTGAGCACAGACTGATCTCTTCCTACAGCTCCACCTTGCCCACTCAGAGCTGGGGGAAGAGACTGAATAATTCAGGTTTGGATAAGGAAAAAAGCCACTAAACACTTGTGTGCCGCTTCCTGCGTTCCCCTGTGCTGTGGGCAGTGCAAGGGAAGCAGCCCAGCAAGATTCCTGCTATCTCAGGAACCCAGCCCAGAGCCATGATCCCTTTGATGCCCACAGAGCCTCCAAACCAGCCAGAGCTCCAGCAACAGGCACCAGCTTTGTTTACAGGTGAGCACCATGCACAGAGCTCAGAGATGAGGAGGAAACATCAAAGAAGAAAAGGTTCTTCTCTTCCCTCCCTTTTCAGGGTGTTGGTTTTGCTGAGTATTGAATGCTCAGAGAAGCCAACGAATGGCTTGCAGTGGAGAGCAGACAGGCTGCCCAGAACAGACACTGCCCCATGTAAAGGTGCTCTGTTAATAAACCACTCATTTCCAGGCTACCAGAACCCTGTTCTTTCTTTTGGCAAAAACACATTGACACAATTGCACCTGCAAATCTGCCGTGTTTGCTGTGGTTCCAAATACAGAGAGCTCGTCTCCCAAACTGCACAGCTCAGCCAGGTGTGGGGTCCTGTGCTACGGTGTGGTATTGCAGAAGGCAATGCCATGGCACAAGGAAACATCCCTGTCTGCCGCTGGGCTGTTACCAGGTGAGACTGGCAGGATAAGCACACCAGGCTGAGGCTGTGTTGGTGAGGGCAGAATCACTCAAAGCCAGAACAAGGAACTTTTGAGCTGCTGGTTTGTAAGATTGAGGCACTCTCAGCCAGTTTGCTGACAACACTGAGCTGTGTGTGTGGTCACACACTGGAAAGGATGGATCCAGAGGGACCTGGACAGGCTGGAGAGGTGAGACCATGTGAAAAGTACAAGGTTCTACACCTGGGTTAGAACATTCTCAGGCACAGCTGAAGAAGGGGCAGAGAAGGGATTGAGAGCAGTCCTGGGAGAAGGGCTTGGGGTGATGGCTAACAAAAAACTCATGAAAACCCATGAGCCAGCAGTGAGCATTCCCAGCCCAGAAACCCTCTGTGTCCTGGGCTGCACCCAAAGGAACATGGGCAGCAGGTGAGGGAGGGGATTCTCCCCTGCTCCCAAGATCCTGCCTAGAGTCCTGCACACAGTTCACGCAGCATAAGAAGGACATGGAACTGTTGGAGCAAGTCCAGAAGAGGCCATGAAGTTGATAAGAGGACTGGAGCATCTCCCCTGTGAAGAAAGGCTTAGAGAGTTGGGGCTTTTCAGGCTGTTTAGCCTGGGGAAGGTTGTATGGACACCTCAGAGCACATTTCAGTATGTGAAAGGGCCTACAAGGGAGCCAGAGAGGGATTCTATCCAGAACTGGAATGACAGGATACAGAGTAATGGATTCAGGCTGACAAGAGGACAGAAGGGATATTGGAAAGAAATTATTTCTTGTGAGAGTGATAAAACACTGGCACAGGTTGCCCAGAGAAGCTGTGGCTGCCCCATCCATAGAAGTGTTTCAAGGTCAGGCTTGGAGCAACCTGATCTAGTAGAAGGAGTCCTTGCTTGTGGCAGGGGTTGGAACTGGAAGGTCTGTAAGGCACCCAAATGTTGGGTGACCTTCAGGCACCCAAATTGGCTTATTTAAAACCCAAAGGAGGGAGGAACCACAGCACCACAGAGCTGGGCTGTACAGTGACCATGGGACTGTACTGTCCCCACCTTCTCAGGGGAGAGGAGCAGCAAAACCTGGAGGGTAGAAAGGTGAATCCAGGGCTGCCAGCATGGAGAGGTGTTGGAATCCTAGATGCTGAGAATTTTAAACTTTCTGTGCTTAAAGGCAGAGAGCCACAAGAGAATACTGCAATTGACCTGAGGCTGTGGAGACTTCCAAAACTGATTGATAGCACTGGGATTATGGGTGTGTAGTTGGTTAGAAGTATGTAATATCACAGGGTGGAAAACTTGAGAGTTTGGGGTCTTAGAATATAGAAATAAATATGAACCAAGATGGAGATTTTAGGGCCATGGCAGGTTGTTCTTCTTTACCTTCTCCTTCCTTCTTCTTCACCTTCTTCTTCCTTTTCTTCATGGGTTTGGGTTATGTTTTGTAATTGAACAGAAAGATCCACATTGCAGGCTTTGAGAGATCGGTTACTGGGTTAGAAGGGAAAATAATCTAGGTGTCATTTCTTAATTGGATAGTTTAGTCTTAAAAAACCTTGTAACAAGAGATAGCCATTTTTGTGCCTTGCTAATAAAAGGCTGCAGAACTCATGGTTGTGAGGCTGTTTCACTGATAAGAAATAATAAACACCTGAGTGCAAACATGAACTACCTCCTCAAGTGCCTTCCATCCCAACTTCAAGAAACTGATTTAGAGGGGCTTAGACATAAACAATACCATTCTTTTATTGAATAATCAGACAGGAACATGAACCATTTTCACCTTTGTGAGTTGACTTCCCAGTGAAGCTCCCTCCCCAGCATCCAACACCTGGATGTTTGGACTGTTTGCTCAAGCAGGAGGTGCTGAATTTGCTCAGTCACACGAGGATATGGCAGGCACCAGCCTGGAGCTGGCTCAGGGATCCCAGGGCCATGGTGCAGACACATGGTAACAAGTAACAGCCAGATTGTCTTCTCAGAGCCACATAGATGTCACTTCTGGGCCAGTTGTCTGTACAAGTTCAGAGTCAGAAGCATAACTTCAGGATCTCCACTTTTCATGTCAAGAGCTTGCAGGAAGCAGTCCAAAGCCTCCTGAAGTTTTCCATCATTCTGAAGTTTCTTCCCACTGTGTACCAAAGTGTCATAATTGGCAGCAGGAGAGGAACTCTGCCCAATGTCCTTTTCAGAGCTGCTTTCTCGGGTAAAATACTCAATCTGCTCACCTGACTGGAGCT